GGTAAGAACTTGTAATATTGACATGGTTTTGAATTATTATGTTATAAATCCCACTCTTAAACTCATTGTGTATAAAATTCACAAATTAAATCTTTTATTTAAAAAAAAATTTTTTTTGTGAGAAAATTCTGGAGAATTTATTGCGAATCATTGGAAAGCGCCCTTACAATGGCAAGGTCAAGGAAAATGCTAATTAAGGTACCTGTGGTCAGACAAAGTAAACCGAAAAAATTGCAAAATAAACAAAATTTAGGGGAATATGACCCACTAGGTGTGTAAAAGAAATAATTGTAAATCGAGAGAGTTTACCGACGTAGTAAATCTAAATTTTTTATTAATCCAAATTCTTTAGTAAAATTCAATTCTTAAATAATACTAGGTTTAGAAAATTAATTTTGAAAGCATTAAGCCTATTCGTTTTACTTCATCGATTCGCTTATCTTTGCATCAGTTTACAAAATATTTGCTGAATTGTCATTGACAATAAATCTTCAAAAGATAGAAAGATGACAATAGAAAATTATTGTTCCAAAACAAAATTATAATGTTCTTATATGATGAAACCATACAGATCAGCAGGTGTGGAAAATATTTTGGATTGCTTTGGATTTAAAAAGTTGTAATTAAAATATGAAGAAAGTTATGAAATGTCAGGCTGTTTAATTTCTTCTTCTAATTAATTATAATTACAAACTTACTGAAATTAATATGTAATTACTTTCTCATAAATGACAACCCAAAATTTAAAATAATAATTGGCTGAATTTTCACTTAAAATTCTGTGCTTCAATTAATTGCACTTTTTTTAAAATTAATTTACATGTAAAAATATTGGAAAACATGGTTGTAAATTTATACCCGTTATGTTAATAATATTGATGTTATGCGGTTGTTATCGAAAATGTTTTAAATTTTTTAAATAATTGTTATTTTGTTTTTATTTACCACATCTCGTTGTGTATGTGGTATAGACCCATTTGCCAATATAATATTCCTCTTTTGTTCTGTTGTACACAATAATTATTGAAATCCTAATTTATAATTATACATCCTTTTGAAATTTCTATCTCTACATAATTTCTCTGCTTTTAAACATTCATGCTAAATTGCCAATTTCATATGAATGTAGTTTGCCATGTAGTTTTGCCATTTGTTTATTACTATACCATTACATTAATGTTGTATCGTGTTTAAAAATCTATTTTTAATTAATTTTAATTTTAAATTTTATATTATGAAAATAAATGAGTTCATAAAGCTTGTATAATACATATTATTATATAAAGTAGTTAGATCTTATATAACTAATAACCTTATACAACAGGTAATAAACATCCTCGCTCAGCGTATAAATTTCACGTGGCTCGCAAAAGTTTTTCAAAGCATCAATTAATCTGACCTCAGTGCATCATGGTTTCTGAAAAATGATTACAACAAGACTACATAGATAGTATTTCAAGTCTATTCTGAGACTTTTTTTAACAAATTCAGCACTCAAGTATGCATCCAAACACAAATGATGTTCAATAGTATTTGTCAAATGCCTTGTAGTAGATCGAAACCAGCTTCATGTGCATAGTTTGACGCAATTGAATATATTAAAGGAGTATCTGTTCCCTTTGTAAAATCAGTGAAAAATTTGGGCATGATTTTTAATCATAAATTTACGTTAGATGATCATGTTCGTCTAATAACTAAGAAAGTTTATACTGGACTCCGTTCATTATGGTCCAAAAATGATGTTGATTCCATTTTTCACCCACTACTCGGTTTACTTATACCACAATTTTTATATTTTGTATATCAAGAAGGATGATATGCGTTGTTTATGCGCCCAGAAATAACTAACTACTACCGAGTCGTCAATTTTTCCCCCGTTCAGTAAGACTTTCAGCCAGCATAATCTATGCGGTGCCATTTTTTTATTTCTCTATTAGTCTTGCAAGTTAATTGTTCTTAATGTTACATTGGCAGGTTTGAACGGGTTCATAAATAGTGATGCGTGCTATAAATGATATTAAGTTGTTGCAAATAAATGCAAAATTTATTTTTAATGTTTTCATTGGTGGTATATTGAAACTATATTATTTGCTTTGCTTATTGAAATTGCTGGCCCCGAAAATATAAATGGGTCATTATCCAAAATTAGATTGATTTTGTGTATACTCCTCTTAAGTATTACAGGCCCGTATAATATTCATACTTCTTAATGCGGCTCATAATCCTGTAAAGGTTGCACTTGTCTGTTATACCTAATGATATACGAAATACAAAACAAAAAAAAAATGAACTTTTATTTATAAAAAGAATAAAGAATTTTTATTTTCGTTATTTTGTGTGTTCTCCTAAATGTATTCGACGTAGGTACCGTAGGTATACACAACAGTATTTTGTTGTTTCAATCCATTATCATATTTTTTATACAAACAATATAAGGTGTAGTAGTATTATAAAGTAAAATTTCATATCATTATCATCATTCTCAAAGAGAGGAAGACAGAAAGGGAGAGAAAGAGAGAGAGAGAGAAGTTTTTACTGTTATTATTATGATTATATTAATACTGGAAAAGGATATTAAGTTAAAATGATATGAAGGATATAATTTAAAAATAATTCATATGTATTTAATGCTATGTTATAAATATGTATGAGTGTATAAATAATGTACATATGTACGCGTATATATTAAAATGGTATAGGTGAAATTTTTTCTTTTTTCAACATTGAAAATTTGATTTCTATTTTTAAAGAATTTCTTAAAGATTTTTTTTTTTGTACTCTAGAGATTTTTATTTTATATTTTAAGTAAACAAATTTCGACAAAAATGTCAGAGGAAGCAGAAGATGAAAATGAAGATGAAGAAGAAGATTTTAAGATTTGTATTAAAAAAGTTTTTGAAATGAATTTCTTTGTCAGATTAATGAATATACAAAAATTGAAATAATCCCAAAAAAACAAACATGAAAAATGAAAAATTTATTTTTAATGTTATTATTTTTGATAACAGATCATGTGAGATTATTTTTCTTCTACACAGTATAACATTTTTTTTAATTTAATTTAATTGATTGAAATTGTAAATAAAATAGAATTATGGTTTAAAATCTTAAGTTTTCGTATTGGTTTCGAGTAATTCAATTTTCGTTTTTTGATAAAATGTTTGAAGAAAATGTTACTTTAAGTTTAAATTATAAAATTGTTGAAAGTGTTTTAACTTTGGCTCATGGCTCAAAGGCTCAATCTGAGTTAAACTTGTAATTTGCAATTTTCCTTCATGGCTCCTTATTCTTGTATTTTTTTCGTCTTGTAGGTTTGTATTAAAATTCTAAAATTAGGAACTAAGGTAAGAGTTTTATGTAACTCAATCCCTTTCTTGATCTAAGCTACAATCTCTACATTACCACCAATATTTGGTTTTATGAGATTCCAAAAATTTCGGAATTATGAACTTCAATTTATTCAGAAATGTGTTAATTCACGAAAACGATGAATCGATAAAGAAATATATGAAAATTTAAATATTTTACGTAATATTTATGCAATTTTTATTAAAAATTTAAATTCAATTTAAAATAAATTTTAAAATATTGTAGAGCATACACATTACATTGCTGTCTAATGAATACATTTAACATGTATATGTGCAAATATAGGTAATTTTTCATAATAACTATGTATATGTAAATTTCATCAATATTCGCATTTTTTAATGCATTTCTGTATTGCTTATGCAAAGTGTTAAAGTGTTAAGTATTACAGTGTATGCGAGCATTAAATATGCGAATAAAAATGATTAAAATATTGTTATAAGTAAATTTCAACCATTACAGTATTAAATGAGATTACATTAAATTTAATTAATTTATTTATATATATAAATTTTTACTTATACGATAATGTACTTAATTAGAAAAGTTAAGTGAATTTAAAATAACTATTTGCTATTTATTAATCATAATACTATTATAGAGGATAATAAAATAAAATTGAATCAAACAAATGGTTTGTGAAGAAGCAGTTTTTTCGTCAAAAAGTGAAAATATTGCTTTTAATAACAATCTACATATATATCAATTCATTGCATATATTTAGGATGTAAAAAAAAAAAATTTAAATAAGTGAGCTGATGGTCGAATTCGGCGGTTAAGTTAGTTAGAATTTACTTCCTTTATAGTAATTTGGTAAAGCTTGCAGTTTCGGAAATATAAGTCTACAAAAATGCAGGTTATACAAATTTCGATGAATGATAACTTCGGAGCGGGAGGAAATGGAAAAAAAATCTACCGAAATAAACTTCTATTAAAAATCTATTCCAATTTTAAATTTCTATTTTAAACTAAACAGAAATTTTATAAACAGACACTAGGGCAGACGAACATACTCATAGCATGATGGAATTTAATCACAGCATAATTAACTTTTAATATATTAGATTTAATTTTTAATTAATATGTGTTTATGTTCTTCGCATAAATAATGGGTACGTATACAAATGGTACACTTAAAAGAGGATTATTCGAGCAATAAATGAGAACGTAATAGTTGACCTATTTTGTGCATTACATTTTCGAATTAATGATCGAATTAGCTACATTTTATTTGTGTTACCCATAAAATTACAATTTCATGTAACAAATCTTTTAAATATCGAAAACATTACACACACATTATTAAGTTTTCTATAGCTATCATACAAGATATTGCATTGCTATGAACAAATTTTCAAATAAAATTCAAAAAAATATTCTTAAACTAGGTTAATATTTTAATTTTGTTCTAAATAATTGTTAAGAAAATGTCTGCCAAAGTTGATTATATTTTGAATAAACTTTTCCAATTTATTTTGTGTCTATATTAAATAATCTATTTAATATTTATAATATTGACTATGCCCCAAAAAAAAATCATTTCGTATAAGCAGGACAATAATCATAAAAAAATATAATAAAATACGAATTTTATTAAAACACAACAATTTCTTCCTTTTTTTTCTTTTCAGGACTCAACGAATAACCACAACAACATATAAACTTCCTGAAATAAAACAACAAAAAAAATCGAAACGAGACTGTTTGGATTTTTTGTTTTCTTTTATAAAAACATTTTTCACTCTCCTTAATTTCCTTTCCTTTTTTTTATTTTTACAAATTTTTATTTGAATTTGAAACTAAAAAGGAATTTTTTTGGTTTTTTCTAATTACTTCAGTGTAAAAATTTTGCAAAAGAAAAATTTTTTCCGAAATTCAGCAAAAAAAACGGGAAATAAGGACAAAATGCGCATTTAGAAAGGAATTAAATTCGCTTTGAAACCGTAAAAAAAAAAATAAGTAAAAATAAAGAGGTAAAAGAATTTTTTTCTAATATAAAAATCAGGAAACGTACGTAACCCAAAAACAATCAAAAAAAATTCTGAAATAAATTAAAAACATAGAAAAAAAACAAAAATCTAATTAAAAAAGAAGGGAGGGGAGAAATTTTTCGTCGATAAATAACCATTTCCGAATATTATTAGAAAGGACTACGAAAGGAAACGAAAACAAAAATAAGGACAACACAAAAAAAGAGAAAAAAATTTCACACACAAAATGAAGAATTTATTTTTATCAATTCTTCTAATTACCACCACATTAGTTACCCAATCGATTGGATTATATTGCCCATCAGGATGTTCTTGTACCCAGAATGCAGTTCGATGTATTCGTATACATTTAAAATCGATTCCTGTAATACCAATGGATACGACAATATTGTAAGTAATTATTTTTAGATTTTTATTTTTATTATTTTATTGCGTTTCTTTTTCTTCTGTTTTTTTAAATTCTACAAAATATATTTATGTGTATGTATTAATTTTCCTGTCATTTAATATACAATAATAATATAAATGTGTATTAGTGCAAAGAGATATTTAAAAAAAAAAATGTTATTTGAGAGAAAATTTGGAGTTGCTAGCATGACAAATGAAGAGAGAGATAGACATGAATGTCAAATATCGAAAGAGTTGAATAAAAAATTTCGTTAATTTTATATTATTTTCAGAGCGGGGTAGCTTTTTTAATTAAGTCACCACAAGACACTGCGCTATAGCTGAGAAATTTTGAAAATTATGAAAGAGAAGAATAAATTTGGATTTTCTCCTTTATTACTACTACATAAATTCAATTGAATTTTGGCAGCTCAAGTTATTTGACAAAGAGCATTGAATGCTTGTGTTTCGTTTCTATTCTGCTTTATCAATAGTAATTTTTCAGGTTAGTCTTACTGATTTTAGTCGTTCGAATATTCGACAATACATGGTAGTAGATTTCTGTCATTTTTATTATAGACAGCGTAATTTGAATAGTTGTGACGATTTTCGGCATTGACGTGTCATTAAACTTTAGAATGATTAAAATTTTTAAAGTTCATAATATGTTGGTAATCTTTGAAACGAATATTAAAATGTAAATTTTTTTTCTTGAAGTAAATTCGAAATTAAAATTCCTTTTTATGAGAGTAAAAATTCTTTATTTTTTAATAATAAAAAGTTAGGAATTCAAAAACTGTTTTAAGAATATTTTATATGAAAAAGCAAAACGAAAAAGAGAATAATGATAAAATCTAATCGATTCTAATGTGTAAATATTGAAATTCTAGCGTCGATATGATGTCATCACTTTATTATTATTCTTTAAGTCTTTTTTTTAATTTCTCCCCCTCAAGATTCAAGAATAAGAAAATGGTTTCAATTCAATCTGTGTTGTTGGTGTCTTTTTTGCACTTTTCTTTTCTCTTCCGGCGTACGTTAAATTGAAATTGTTAAAAATACTTAACGAAATTATCAAACCAAGTGTATGAAATTATCTGAATCAAAATCTATTCTTATGAGAAGAAGCAAAAAAAAAGTATAAAATTGGAATAATTTTTTTTTTTCTATTTTTATTTTTTTACAGCATTTTTTATTAGTTTATTTTCAAATTGAATGAAAATCGTTTAGAAATTATTTTATGTTCATACCATATGTCTGACATACATGAATGAAAATATATTTATGTATGATAATGCAATATGTTTGTTACAATGTTAGTTATGGTTTTTTAATTTGAAGTTAAGAAATTTGTGTTGTGTTGTGGTGTGATTAATAAAAATATTTTTTAAAATTTAATGGCTTTTGAAGACGATGACTGGGAATGGAAAATGATAAATCTTAGAACTTGTATGCTGACATTTATACAATAAAAAAATTTGTTCGTACAAAATTAAATCGGTCGGGTGTAGGACGAATACTTGAAAATACACGAATTTTAACTTTTCCAATATTTTATATTAAGTAATCCCAGATCCCTATGTCAAATGAATATTTAAATTAAATTACTAAAATTTTAGGGTAGTTTTATATAGACCACCATAAGTTTTAGACTTAATAATGCTAAAATTTTATATTTAAAATCACATTAGAATATTTTAACGTAATTTCATTTACGATTAACCATTTCACTTTACTGTTATTGTCATTTTTATTTTGTAGAATATTGCAATTTGAATTCATGATATGTCCTCAAATAAACGTTCTCTCTCTAAGCATCTTTTAATATTTTCCATTTTTTTATAATTTTTTTTATGTACTTTTTATTCTTGTTTTTTTTTTTGAATTTTTTTTTTCTACGTAAAATCCTGTAACTCAAATCTGTTTCTATTGTTAAAGTTTGAATAAGAAAAATGAAAATGAAAAAAATAAAAGGGGGAACGAAAACCGCTTGAAATCTAAATTGAAATCTATTTGGATTAACTGTATCTTCTGCAAGACTTTTTTTTTGGAAAAAGAAATATTGATATTAGTACTTACCGATAAAAGCTATTGACATGGGAAAGTTGTAATACCTAATACTAAAATATCTTTTAAAGATTTAACAAAAATAAAATTTAATATGCGTGTTTTAAAGTTTAAATTTTAAAGAATTAATGAAGTTTCGCTAATAAATTTGTATTAAGTATTGTAAAAGATTTGGATTCGTGTTAAATTATTCGAAATTATTATGTTTTCAATTAATGAGCACGCTTTTGGATTAAGAGAACCATGAAAACGAGTCCGACGGCGGCTAAATAAGTACCGTTCGGGCTTAGTAGTAGTAGTAGTAAGAGGGGAGGCTCCACCGGTACACCTGCGCAAAGCCCATGCACTAGGCCAACAAAAAAGGCCCATCGGCAACTCCCAGAAAATACCCAGCAACCCCCATGAAGTTCGACACAAGACTCCTCTATCCGAACCAGCCAACCTCTCTGGCGAAGTCCAAAAGCCGCGCAAGAGACATCTCGGAAAGGTCCCCCTAAAGGTTATCGTAAAAATAAGCCCCCAAGACACGCCTTCTCTTCCACATCAGAAACGGACAGGCACAGAGGACATGCTCTACATCCTCCACCTCCGCCGCATCTCGACACCTACGACATACATCCGTAATAGCAATCCCCAGCCTCCTGGCCATTTTCCCCAGAAGGCAATGCCCCGTCAGGACCCCAATCAGTGTGCTGAGAGCAGCCCTATTATCTTTCAACAGCATCCTCGTCCTCCTTTCGTACCTGATAGGTCACATTGCCTTGGTCACCCTACACGCTTGAGCCTCCGCCCACAAGACCTGTATTGGTGTAGATGGATAACCCCTCATGCCTGCATAACCCCCCACACTCCAATCCTCCCTTTAGTACGCAATGCACCCGTCACCCCAATACACGCCATACGCTGCAACCAATTCACAGAAAGGGTTCACAGAAAGGCAGCATCCCCGCACCCAACCATTCAGTCTATCAAGGCCCCCCTGCATTATTGCACTCAGTACTTCCGGGTATTTACTCGAGGATGTAGAGTTACATAGGCAGTAACTCTACATCCACTATCCCTCATGAGCCTAAGATAACCCTCCCTCCATAACCAAGACCCACAGATATGGCGATAGGACCACCCCTGAGGAGTGCCTGTCACCGACAGCATCGTCACCCTACTTGTGCCCCACTCGGCTAAAACTAACCTCTCCATGGTCCTCAGCACAAAAGACGATAAGCTGATTGGCCGGAAATCCCTCGCGCTGACATGACCACTCCTACCAGGCTTCGGCACAAAAACCATCCTTACCTCTCTCCATTCTCTAGGAACATACCCCATATACAGGCAGCTACGAAAAATTACCACCACCCAATCAATGATCACTCTCGGTGCCCTCCGCAGCATAATAGGCCACACCCCATCCGTTCCCGGAGGCTTGTAGGTGCCAAAAGACTTATAGCCCACTGTATCCTCTCCCCCGTAAAAATTTCTTTACCTTGAGCTAGTACAGTCTCCGTTCCTCTCCTCGGAACCACCTTGGCTTTTGCTCTTCCCTTTCCCTCGGGAATTGATCCTGGAAAGTGAATCTCCATCAGCTCCCCCAACGTTTCTATACTAGAGCCAGCCCAAGTACCATCATCTCTTTTAACAAAACCAGCCACCAGGGGCTCCCCCGATAGTAGTTTCCTTAATCTTGCAATCTCATTGGGATTTTCCAACGACGTGCAATAGCTCCTCCAAGACCTCCGTTTGCCCTTTCTTATTGTGTACTTAAAAGCCCTCAGTTTCTTCTTATATTCTTCCCACATGGGTGGGCTGCTTCCCCGCCTCGCCAAATTATGTAGCCTCCTTACTTTCCTCTTGGATTTACTAATTTCGTTGCACCACCATGGTGGTGTACCACACTTTGCAGGGCGGCTAATTGGGCAATTGGCCTCATAGCCGCACTCAGACACTTAACCACATTGTCATCTGGCTTACCTCTTCTTATCAGTTCATGTACCGGCCCAGTCATGTCAGATTCCAGGGCCGCCGAGTACCCATCCCAATTTGCCCTTCGGGGGTTCTAAATGACGCCCTCACCTCCGGTTGCAAATTTATCCTAAAACGAATCCAGCTATGGTCCGAGAAGGAAGAATTCTCCGATACCATCCAGTTACTGACCATTGAGATCCCTAAATTAGTAGCCAAAGTAAGGTCTATCACCTCAGTCCTATTTCTAACGACGAAAGTAGGGTCGCAACCCCTATTGCATACACAAAGGTTAGTAACACTAAGAAAATATACTAAGGACTCACCTCGCTGATTAACATCCGAGCTTCCCCATAGAGTGTGGTGCGCATTCGCATCACACCCAGCCAGTACATCGTGTCTCCACATCCTCATAGCCTCTCTGAATTTTCCCGGCGGCGGCTCTGCCTCGTTGTCGTAGGGCATATAGCATGAGATCAGAAGAAGAGGCAAATCCTTCTTCTTCCTCTCCCACCTTACCACAGTTGTATCGCCGTCACAAAAGTTATATAAAAGAAAAAGTTTAAGTTCCTTCCTGGTGAAAATACAAGATCTCTGTCTACTTACTCCGATTTTGTGATACAGGACTTAGTCCTTAAGCGTCAGGTCCCGTATACTAACGTTTCCATCTAACCACTGAACCCCACCATCTAAGCTGAACCTTACCAATCCGCAATTTTTCTCTATATATCGCACCGATTTCCTATTTATGCTCAGAGGGGAGTGTTGTCCAGTTTTCTTCCGAGGCTCCTCCCTAACCACAGTCCAGTCCTCAGCCCCAAACTCCCGATTCTGTGGAATCAGTAGCCTGATACTTCGGCCTCCGGTACCTACCAACATCGGACCTAGGGATAGCCCGTAGTTTGGCCCCCTCCCAGATGCCGTCAAGCTTCGGCAGCGTGTCCTCCAAGAACTTCTTGGAAGCCATGTTGGAGCACGCT